GGCCAGTTTCAAAAGAGAAGCGTGGAATGGAAATATTGAATTGCTGTCACGGTTCCGTGGCCGCCAAATTTAAACGGATCGAACGATATTCCCCTCTATTCGAACGTCTACCTGCGGAGTTGGATCAATTTCGATCATAATATATTTTTCTTGCTTCAGTTATTCAGAATTGAAACTACTGCGTTACTCTTGAACTTAACCTTAACTAATCCCTTTTTATTCGTGCGATACGTCTTCTCAGTGTAATCTTAATATACAATAAAAATTGTTCGTCTGATGCTTCGTTTTCGAGAAAATTTAATTTGAAAATCTGTTAGGTACGCGCAAATTATCGAATAGGATTTGGTTAACGCGTCTGTTCATTGTATTTTGTTTCTACTTGTCACTATGAACACATACAAGTTAGACGAATTTTGAAAATTGATTATCTTGGAAAAAAACATTGAACAAAAAAATGTTATTCTACATTTTTGATTTGTTTTTGCACGTAGAATCACATATTTTCGGAAACACCTTGTATACAACACCTGCAAGCAAATGCTGCACCATTTCCACTGTTTTATTTTGACATGTAAAGTGACCTTTTGGCAGGATGAATACCCTCGTCCTGGGGCAATAAAAGAATATACACAACAGTCTGCAGTGTATATTATATCAGAAATATAATACCCGTGTTGTTAACAAAGAAATCTAACAACAAACTTGCAAAGTTTGTTTTTATTTTTATTTTAAGAACACCATTCATTACTTTCATAGATTTTACTGAGGATACAATTTCAAAACAACTTCTTTGTCAATATGATTAATGAAATACCTAAATAAGATTTGAATAAACAGAGTGAGAACGTACTTTGAGAAATAACTGTCCGATCGTTACACACATACGTATACAGAACTTTATAATGTTATATAGTTTACAGACATGCATTAAAATGCTATGCACTGGAATTCCTTTAATTTCCACAAGGAACAGTAGTAAACTGAATATTTATCTTCCATCAGTGTAATATCACTAAATGTACTTTCAATGAATTTTTAGTAAAACACGAGGGTACAATTCAGTCAAACATTTTAGGATCACTCTTTTACCATAAGTGTTACCCATTAAGTGCTACCCAGTGCCTAGATATCTGTAACGCTTAACTATGAAAATTTAAAACTTCCATTAAACAACTTTTTCCTTAAACAGTGGTGGCAAATGTGTGAAAAGTACGGAAACACTATTTTATATGAAAAACCATTTCTTAATCCACCTTGGTAGCAAGTATTTTAAAAATCAATTTTAAGCAAAATAATAAATTCAGAAACACTTCCTCGATGTCGTGAAAATCCCTCGATCCACCACAAGATCAATGAACGCAATCGAAAAACAAATTTACCGGTAAGGAACGAATCGCGACTAAGTACAGACACTGTCAAACACTTTTCTTCGTCGTACGATTACAAAACGGGTCTCATTCTCGGACGAAACTTCAATCGGTTTCTTTAAGTACTTCTAGTCTGGATCGTCCCGAAAACACTACAAGTTACTATTCACCACGGTCCAAACATTCCCGTGACCAACCTTAAAACCAAATCGAGTGTACTGTTCCCTATCGATTGTCCGTTTTCACTTCACGTTTCGTTCACGCGGGCACACACAGACGCACACACGCGGCTGCGAAACGCGTGGATCCCGTTGAAACCGGCGTTCGAATGATGCTGACTAGTAGTCAGGCATTGATCTCATCCTCGAAGACGGCGAAGAAGGAAACTGAACACGGTCTGCCGCGATCCAAAGACACGCGAAACTCACCGTGATTTTATCTTGTGATCCCACTCCGCAAGTTTTTATGAAACGACACGGTCGAACGGCGCTAATTAGTTTTCTGTGTTTCCCGTCGCGATCGAATCCTTCGGCCATTGTGCTAGCCAGGCAACCACCTGGGAGGGTTTCAAGGCGAGAGTCGAAAAGGGGATCGAAAAATACCTGACAAAAAAAAGGGGCCTAGGGAAAAGGTGAGCCTCCGCCTGTAGAGACCACATTTTCACCAGAATTTTCCTTGTTCCACAAGAACATTATAAGCGAGGAGTACGCTGCGGTTTCATGGATTCTGACGTTTTTCCCGCGTCACGGGTTTAATCGTGACTAATATCAGAGGCACGAGAACCGGTTGATCGTATGGATAACTCCAGGTAAGTCCTTGGTTAATGGAAACGGGCAATTACAGCGACGTTTTGCTGCGTTTCATTTGTGTATGGAGGCTGATTAATTGTGAGGAATTGTGCAATTTTACATTTGACAATTATTGTGTTTATAATTATATTGTGTTAAAAAGGTTTATAATTTTGAATGGTCACTAACTGTTGTCATTATATTCATAGTATACAGGGGGTTTCCGAAATGATGGGAGAACCTGAAAGGATGTGATTCTAGATGGAAAAATAAGTCCAGAATGTGGAATAACAACCTTTAGTACTGTGCTTCGTTTTCGAGAAAATTGAATTTGAAAATCTGTTAGATACGCCTGTAATTATTGTGTAGGATTTGGTTGACGCATCTGTTCATTGTATTTGGTTGTCATTGTAATCAGAGGCTTGTAACGAAACATAAAATACCGGTGCTATACCGATATTTTTCGGTTGTACCTTCATAACCCTAATAGAAATCGAAATACGAAAATACCGGTATATCTACAGTGGGTGTAAAAAGTATTCGTACACCCTTTAAAACGGAACAACTCTTTTAAAATTGGTTTTTGCGAAGTTAGAGACATTAATTTACTAAATGATGTGAAAAAAAAAATTTGAAAAAGTTACAATTGGTCCGAATCGCGAAGAAAATATTAAAGGTCGTGTTTTACAACTTTTTAATCTGAGGCTATAATGAAAATTTAATAAATACATATCGAAGATTTATGTTAGTTATGTAAATACTGAAACTTTCATTGAAATCGGTTAATGCAGAAACGAGCGACAGACATCAAAAGATGTGAGAATTGTTAGATTACAGTTGTAGATCGAAAGTCGGGAAAAACTACGATTTTCAACATTTTTAATCGTTTGTATCTCGTAGCAACGTTTACCGATTTTGATGAAATTTTCAACATGTATATAACTAACATAAATCTTCGATATGTATTTATCAAATTTTCATTATAGCCTCAGATTAAAAAGATGTAAAACACGACCTTTAATATTTTCTTCGCGATTCGTACCAATTGCAATTTTTTCAAATTTTTTTCCACATCACTTACTAAATTAATGTCTCTAACTTCACAAAAAAACTCAAGTCATTTGGACCAATTTTGAAAGAGTTGTTCCGTTTTAAATGGTGTACGAATACTTTTTACACCCACTGTATATAGGTACTAACAATAGATTGTAGTACTATAATTAATTTCCGGCCAACGCACCTACTATCACTTCCCATTAACACAAAGTACATACGTGTAAACATTAGTTTACAGAAGGGAACAATATTCCTGATACCTGATTGCTATGTTTCGGGCAAACGATCGATACCACGAATTAAATCCTATTCCCTTCTCGGTCCGTGGTATCGGTGTTTCAACGCTAATCGAAACAGACCGCGTCGTACAGCGTAATGCAGGATAGAATCGAAGATAAAGGCCGAGTTACAAGGTTGTTTCAAGGTATACGAGATAGCGTTCGGTGCACGAAGACGTTGGCCACGTCAGACGGCCCTAAAGTATATATTTGCACTTGTAGTCGGTAATTAAATCCCGCCCGTTCTTACAGGAACGGTACGTCCGGTCATAGAAGAGCAATTGGTCTGAATCCCAAATAGCCTCGTCGTGGGTTGGACGCCACGGCCCGAGCTATAGTGAAACGAAAACCGGCCAGGGCACGAGATAGTTACGCCGGTTCGTGAATAATCATTTCGGTCGAACGACCGTCCCAGGTGCTTCATTAAGTAACTAAATTCTAGCTCCTTTTTTTTGGGGGGGGGGGCGGGTTAACGTTTCGATTGGACTAGAGTGACGTTGGTTGGTTACTTTTTGGAGAACGGTAACGTGTATCTGGATTTTCGTGAAAAATACAAATCGTTGCACTGAACACTGTTGTCTGAGAAAGCCTTTTTTTAAATTTATAGGCTTTGAATCACATCGATGCCTATGTCATTAACGACTTGGACTTATAGTATACGTTGCTTGGATTTAATCGTGCAGGGGTGTGGGGGAGTTCCCCTACTAGGGGACGCTTAAGGTTCTTCTTAAATAAATAAAAAGAAATAATGTTTTAATCTTTTTATTCTGCATTATTTATAAGTTGACAATATTAGAACTCCACATAAAGGAAGAATATAATCAACATTATCGTAATAGTTGACTTAAATGAGCGTTAAACTTTGGTATATGATTTTGAAAAATCTTATGATTTTGAAAAACTTAGTAACTTAACTAAGGACAGTTTCAATATAATTTGCAGCGATCACAAATTGTTAATACTTTGTTGAGATAAAAGATAATTGCACAAAACTTTTACTGAGTTTTCTTAATATATGAACAAACATGTACCAAAAACTACGTAAGTTCTTTGATCCATTAATTCTTAATTCTAAAAATCGCTTAAAAATGACGCGTCCGAGTGAGAATACACCCTTAAAAGACACCACGGAAGAACAAGAAATTTATTATTTATCTTTCCAAATCAGCACACCGGAGGTCTTAAAAGAAAAAAAACCACTGAATAATACAAACCACGAATACGATATTCGTCACTGCCCCAATTCCATGATTACGATTCCGAAGGAATCGACCGCCCGGTACATACGAGGACTACCGATTTTCCATGGTATCGGACGCAAGAGAGAGACAGAATTGGCCACCGGAGACCAAGATGGTGGATCCTTAGCAGATGTAATAAAAATAGGGGTCTACCCGTCGAGGGTGGAAAGAAGATTAGAACGAAGAGGCCGGTGAGCGCGGCCTAGGGGGGCCGCGCTGTAACATGAGAAATGCATGAGAGAAAGGTAGAGAAGAGGGTTGGGGACTTACCGTCGTGGGAGTCGTAGAGGTAGATGATTTTCTTCCAGCCGTAGTATCGCACCGTGTCGATGATGGCGCGATGATAATCCGGACGCATGCTTATGGCGAAATCCAGGAGACCGGAGGACGGCGTCAGAACCTGGACATAACACAGGCTCACGTGAATACGTATATTTACGTACCACAGAGAGACGTTCGACTTTTAGATTTTATTCAACCATGCTGGTAATTCTCTCCGCCCCCCCTCCCTCCATCCCACGGAATCGAGCCGCTCGAGGAAACGTTAAGCTGCATCGTTCTCTTCTCTTCACTCTTCTGGACGACGAGTCCCGAGGAAATGTAATCGTAAATATTTATGATGCTTGCACGAATGACAGCCCATCCGAAAGCTTTCCGCGATACTCGGCGATATTGAGCTGTGTCTGTAATACACCCCTCCCCCCTCTAGCTCGTCGTGTCAGTCGCTGGGAAGAAAATAACGTCGCAATCTTCAATGAATTACTGTTCGAATTTATTGAATCTTCGGTGAGTACTTGGGGCAGATTCCGTGGATCAATCTACTTGGGTAGTTCGATGGAGATTTGTTTCGAAGTCTATAGTGAATCGTTTTATATTTAAAGATTTCGAATTGAATTTTTGATGCGGACATATTAACCTTCCCATAAGTAAAGAGGAATGGTTGTGATTATTAATTGGCGTTGTACAGTTCTCACTGTGGAGGCTTTCAGGTCTAAACCGTGTTCTTGCGAAATTGTTTTCCCAACGTTTCGTTATTTGGTTTACAACACCTCACAATTGCAAAGAAAAAAGCATACCGCACATGTAAACTCACAAAAAGACACCAGGATTACCTAACTTTTTGCCAACTCAGATCGAAATGTATTAGCCAAAAACTGTCACAGGAATTATATCAACACAGTCGAGTCAATAAACCCAAATGACATCAAATCCTTTTGGAAATATATTAAATTAAATTGGGATTCCAATACATTACGAGTATATGATATACGAAGATATAGTAACGGATTTTAATTCTTAAAAATTTGGACGGTGGGTTATTGCGACATTCTGAATAATATAGCAGTTTGCCACATTTTACTGTATAAGAGGCCATTTTACCGTACACATAGTGCGTTAAAGTACATCAAACAATTTAAAAATGCCATCCAAGAAACCGTTCGTACACTCACTTCTGATTGCCATACACCCAAACGCGCAGTAGCTTTGGCGCTGTTAATTATTTATTTTAAAGTACACTCCATTGTTTCTCCATCCTGAAACTTACCATATTGGTACAGGATAAATCAAGGAATAACGTCATATTTATTTCAAAACGTTATCGAGATGTAAAAGTTTCGAAAATTCCATGTCATTATATACGTGTTTATAACAAATGTAATACCTTATCGTTACTGAATTTAGTGTATATAAAATGAAAGTGCGGTTCAAGAGCTTTCATATGAGCTCAATACGAAGTCTGTAAACAGAACTGAAAATATTGGTGTTTGAATGTAAGCGGATTTTCAATTTTAAGCATTTTGTGCAATCCTTAATCGTTTATATTATGTGAAATATTAATTTTAAACACCTGAAAAAAATCACACGTGTTTCTATGTCATACAGAACACGTAAAAAAAACTTCAACAAAATCGGAGAAGTGATCCAAAATTTTCACTTTGAATCATCCCGGTTGCCGTGGAATGATCCATATCTATAACGTCATTGAGGTCTGTAGCATGTTCAGTGTTTCTCAAGCAAGTATAAGCTTACAAACAGGTCTAATTTCAATTTATTTCATGATATAAAAATTTCCGGATTAATTCTACCTACTTTATGGTAATGGCCCACTGCACGACGGGTGAAAAAAAAAAATGCACGATTACCATTGGAATGTACGCGGACGCCATTCATCCAATATGAATATGGCGCTGTATCAGTTTTGCAAGTGTTATACCCACGGTCCGATAAATGCCGTGTCCCGTTGCAATTCGACGCGATGAATAAATTTTCGAGCAGGTCCTCAATTCGTAATTCAAATTGTAATATCTTTATACACCCCTCTCCTTCTATACATATTTATGTATTTATGGGATTCCAGAGTAGGAGTGGGCGGAGGTGGAGAGGGTGGCGATTGTGTTCGTGCTAATTGTCAACGCTGCCTCCGTGAAACTATCGATTTTGGTCGGATTTTACTGTGCACACATACATGTATATGTATGCATATATGGACTCGTTCGTGCGCGGAGATAACGAGGGAAAATAAAAATGAAAGTAAAACTGGTTTGACCGGTAGACAACGCGTCATGAGGATAAGCTTCGCAACGAAGTGGGCAGTTATTTGGAATTTTGCGGTCAGGGGAATTAAGTGACTAAATGAACAATGTTCGGTTGTGACGCGTTTAGGCGATAGGAGGAAAGTGGTTGGATACGAATATGGTATTCATTTCGCACGTTTTTCTTTTTTTTGTAGAGGTTCGTTTGGTATTTGAAATGTATACAACTGTTCATGGATCTACGCGATAGCATTGGGTCGTTCGGAAAGTTCGTATCGTTTCGAGCACAGTGTCTTCGTTACCTTTTTACTGGACAGAGGAAAAGTCGTTTAATCTGGTGGATGGGTATTATTTTTCAGATCTGGACTGAATGTGTTTGCTGTGTGAGTTATTTGTCGTTTTTTTTTTTCAACGAGCACAAAGTCCATTTTCATTACGTTCCATCAACCTTGTTTACAATATGACACTACTTTGATTAAAAGATTTTGTGGCATCTGCCCAATTAATTAGACTTTGCTCTTTGAGATGATTATACCTGTAAATCGCTGGAATATTCTGTATCAAGGAAAAAAGTGCGAAAACAAAATCCGATTATTTAGAAACGGGTTGAAGAGTTCTTTTAACCAATACAATCGAAGTTGTACATATGTAAAATGGAAAGTAAATAAAAAAAAATTGTAAAATGAAAAGTAAATAAAAAAGCGATATAAATTGAAAAATATAGATTGTAACTCTGCTTTTAAAAATACTACGAATTATCAAACCAGTCCAGTCCATGAAAATGAAAAATATATTTGTTTTTATATTATTAGGTCGTTTCACATTGTATTGATAGGTGTATTTTTTTCTAGTAGCAGAATCGATTTACATGTTTTTTGTCAATTAGCCTGTATGGAATGATCTTTCCTAAAAAGAAAATACATAAATACCTGTTTTCTAGTTGAACAAATCCAGAAAATTGTACAATGTTGAGACACCATAACTAAAAGTCAAATTGAAAAAACATTTCATTGTATATTGTATCAATTCTTTGGTCCCAGTAGAAGAGGCAAAAGTACTTTAGTTTCCAGTCCACTTTACAAGCATACTATATCGTTTCCACAACATGTAAATACCATTGTTGCCCTAGACCCTTTTCAATTTATTTCTTGCCAGAATATATCATTAGAGACTTAAAATATCGTTTATATTATACTACAATTTACGTTATTATCATCTTATTACTACATCGGTGGTCATCAGTAGAGCGATTAAAAATAGCCCCTGAAGGCCGATAAGTGAAAAAAAGGAATCCGTAAGGGTGGTATTAAAAATAAACGATGTTCTCCCCTCTAACGGGATTATAAGTTTTTATTTAGCTGCGCGGGAAAGCGTAATGTTTACCTTCTCGGGAAACCAGGGCGTCACGAAAGGCATCTGGAATGTGTTGCTGTACGAATGGAGGGTGTCGAACGAATCTGGACTGACAGCGCCAAGCATGGAAAATACTCCTCTGCTGAATTGATTGCAGACTGTAACAAAAAATGTAATGCAAGTCCTTACATACCCACTCTGAATAAATGATTTCTTTTATTTTCTTTTATACGTTCACGCTGTATGAACTGTATATATTATGTAATTCTTATTGACTATTATGTACTATAAATTTGAGTGATCTCGGGGGGGGGGGGGGGGGGTTTATAATCTATCTAAGTGTAATGGACTACTTGGTTGCTTGTTAAAAATACTAAAGGAATTTTAAGTCTTAAAAATTTGTAATACTTGTGGTGTGTTGTCATACTTTATCCTTTTCTACTTACAATTTTATACCGGGTTGTAGCTCATAATTAGACTGTGGATTTTATGCATTTGTACCGTTCACAATTGTCTGGAATTCAGTATAGTTAAGGGGTGTTCCTTGTGTGACATCTGAAAAAAATGTTACATTTTCGGGAATTTAAAAAACGTATTACGTATATGGTTTTGCAAGTTTGTAGGTTTATTTCATTATCTTTTAGGAATATGAAAATATTTTTTATAAGGAATGATATCAATTTTGAAATAGGACTACTGCGAACGGACCGTCTCGAAAAATATCTCTTCGGATGACAGACCTGATATTAAACGTTATACGTACTTGAAACACGAAATTCAAAGGTATTCTTAATGTCTATACTCGTGGCTATCGTCGAAACTAGGATAACAGAAAAATTGGAGAAATAAAAAAATTGCAAGGTCTCAAAGAAATTTTTTTTATTTCTGAAAAAAAAACGATGGTTTTGTTGTCCGCAAAACGTAATTTTTGCAGATATTTACAAAATCCTAGTTTGGACGATATCCAAAGGTTTAAAGATTAACAATATCTTTGAATTTTGTGTTACAGGTAACTACAACGTCTGATATCAGGTCTGCCATCCGGAGAGACATTTTTCCTATGTCAAAATAAATGCATATTTTTCCTAAAAAAAATATTTTTATATTACAAAAAGACAATTGAATAAACTTACAAACTTGCAGAAGGATATATACAATAGTTTTTCATTTTTTAAATTCCCGAAGTACCTACATTTTTGTCAGCCGTCACAATAGAAAGACCGCTCAAGTGTTTGGTAAAGCTTGAGGAGGTCCTCATTTTATTTGGAATCTAGTAAAATAGTGAAGACAGCAAACAAAACTTCTGTGTGACTAAGTATGAACCAGACTTGACTAAATTTACGTCACAAATTCAGCATCAGGGGAGCCATTGATAACGAAGAGAACGCTTATAAATAAAGTTCATAAATTATTAATGAACTAAAACTTGACAATTATATTTGTTTTTATAATAATTACAATTAGAATTTTGTTTTTTTTTATTTTTAATTTAAAAAGAGTTCAAAAGCATATTGTAATAGTTTTTTCAATAAGATTTATCTTACTATTCATTAACCGACTGTTTTAGAATGAAAATACCCATTGACCCGAACCGTCTTCTTAATACTCACATTTTGGTTGATTTTGACCCGCAACCAAAAAACGTTGCCGACGCCTGGTTTAACGTATAGTAAACTATCGAAGCAAACCTTGTCCTGTACGAGTGAATAACGATGTGAATATTATCATTCGTAACTTATCGTATCGATACAACGTTAACGCACATCAATTACCTTCAAAAACTGATACAAACATTATCTAGAACGTTCTCATTTCTCGACGAGCGAATAAATGATACGAATTTCATGATAACTACACGAGTAGAGTCCAATAAGTCGCGATGGTATTTCACGCGTAATTTCATTCATAGCCGCGTTCCCGTGCCGCGATCCTTCGTAACGGTTTAATATGCATTCAAAGGTGTCAAAGCATAGCCAGGAGTTCCATAACTCTGTTTTTCATTATACAATGACGGACAAAGAGTACGGGAATTTCGTCAGCCGTACTGTTGTCAATACACTTTATTGTTGACATGCATCCATATTCCCTATGTCCTCCGTTATTAACACTAGGTTTACGAGCATTCATCGTGTACGTATCTCCACGGCACGCGTCGACGAACCCGCAGATTTTCTTTAAAAAACAACTTATTTTATATAATACACAATTTATGATCTTTGAAATTAATGCATAGCTATAGAGATAGGTATACCACATAGAGAATTTCGAGGTTAGAAAGCATTCGAAATGCATCAAAATGACGCGTCCCCTAAAACCTAGTGTTAAGAACAGGCTATAATAATGTCCACAGACGAAATATTACCTTGTTTGAGAAGGTAGTTTCATTTTTCTATCCGTCAATCGTTAACGATTCTGAGAATTAAGGTTTACCTAAAGGGTACCGATTAAATTGTCTTGACAGATATGTGTACAGTAAATCCTCAATAATTGTTCGAAGGCTCTTCAGCACTGATGGTACCCGGAGATGCGGACCAACGAAATACCGTGGTACCTAACAGCGGGATGGAATGAGGAAAGATACAGAAACTGCATGGCGCGAGTAGTGCCATGTTCAATGATGCCTTAACACTTTGACTGCCACGTCACCCAAATATGGGTGACACGTACATTGAAAAGTGTCTGGATTATTTAAACACTGTTATAAAACGTTTGCATGAAATTAATATTGCAGTATAATTTATAATTTAAAGCAAGACCTACAGCCTCTATTAACTAAACTCAAATATTTTCGACAATTTATGACTTAAAAAACGAAATAAAGTGTGTCTGGCTACGTACGGCCTTTTTCACTGTGGCAGTCAACGTGTTAAAGATATTTTACTTCAAAGACATATTCAGTCATGCGATTCAGATCATTGTCAGGAAATGAATTATTTTTGTTGAGAAAATGTGAAACAAAGGAAGTTCAAAATAACGTAACGTACATAAGCCAAGGTACATAACATTGAACATATTAATCAATTGGTACTATAATTCTCCTATAATGAGCAACCTAATTAATACAATTCATTGCGTCCCCAAATATTTATTGCATTAAAGATTCACTCACATTAAACCGTTTCTATATTCAAAAATTGGCTCTTATATAAATCTCTTTCCGTCAAATTTAAATACTAATTCGGCAATTACTTTGATCGTATCATGCATCGTCTTCAAGATAAAAGAATTCTATTTATCCACGACAAACTATGAGAGATCTCTTAAAGATAATTCCATTATATTTTAAGACGGACCCAGAGAGAATTAATTGCTCCACGGAGACTGGTATATCTCAAACAGAAAAATTAATTACGCTATTCGACAGAACTCGCCCGGCGCCTAAATAAGTAACACGCGGCGAACGCAAAGCAAGATGAAACCGCCCGGAAGCGGAAATACACCAGGGCGAATTCGTGCCCGTGCGCCGGCTAAGTGCGCCTCGTAAACTCTCTGATAATTCGGAACACTTGGCGCTACCGGGTGTGAAGTCGCGAGGACATGAGGTCGATACACCTGCGCTAGAATACCCGATACACCCCGGGCACGCGATAAAACCGACAGAGAAGTTTTGTGTGCCCGGTAAAACACGACAAGTGAAGGCCATGGAAAAGATTCGATGTCAAGGAAGAAGGGGAGGGCGGTGAGACGACGATTGAAACGGTTGGAACCAGACCAACCGGTGTAGACCCACGAGCAAAGTTGGTTCCACTAGGGGAAAAAAGGGGCGTAAGAGAAAAACCTCCTACCACTTGGTAAATTTATTTCAAATACTGAAATAAATATTAAATCGAATGTTAATTTAGCATAAATTTCAATAATTCCCGATATCAAATTTTAAGAGGTCCTTCTCCAACGCCGCTAGGGGAAAAAATAACGTAGAGAAAGGGTCCCTGCCATTTGGTAAATTTATTCCTGGTAGTGAAATAAATGTTAAATCGAATGTTAATTTGGCATACATTTCAGTAATTCCAAATACCAAGTGGTGGGAGGCCTTTCTGTTACGCCACTTTTTCCCCTAGTGGAAGCCGAATTTGCTCGCGGGTGTACCTGGACACCGTTCGAAAAATAGAAGAGCGAGGAGAAAAAAGGGGGGGCACCGAAAGTAACTTATGACGGGAGATAATCGTGGAAAAGAGGATATCGATGATCGAATTGATCTTATTAAAAATTTCATAACGAATGGACACCTATTCCCTGAACCGGGGTTTTATAAGGGTTCTAAACTTAGAAACAGCATCTTCATAAAGCATTTTAGGAAGCTATGAAACGAAACAGTAATAACACGAAACATAAATATGACTTGCACTAACCTTTTTTTGTCTCTTTTATGCCGCATCGACTACTTGTATAGGTCAATGTACAATTGTTATTATATTAATGACTCATTAGCGACGAAGTTGAGGCTGAGATACGATGTTCTGAGGTACTTAGAGTACATAATAGTCTGTGTCGTATAGGAAATTGATTGTGCTCTTTAAGTGGTCCTCTGAGACGAGAGCTGTGTCAGGGTTTACGTTTTGTGTTCACTTTTGTGATTCGAATCTTCTGCACTCTACCAGAAAGTGGTTACCCGATATGTATCTGTGGCAGTAGTTACAGTAAGGCGGTCTTGTTTCTTAACCCTCCGTAGGCAATGTGGGTCGCTGACCATCCAAGTGAAATCTTATTTCGCCTGCAATTAAGTCGCCATGGAGGCGCGCGTGATAAAACATTTGGAGTAAGAATTTGGCCCTCATGGTAGCGTTTTGCCCAGGGGCAAAAATACTTAAAGCGATAGGTTTGGTAACCCGGACCTACAAAGGCGACGTGCTGTTTGTATCGACAAGTGGTCACGACGGTCCCTATGTCATTTCTGACCCCACACCGATATTCTACTACTACGCAGTGGCGGTTGCTCGAGCTCGAGCCATGCATACAATGTAATGATTAGTTGGTTCCACATTACATTTGGATTTTCGTGGTTCTTATTACACTAACTAGAATAAAAATCTCGTGAATTATAAAACAAATTATATTTATTAGTCAATACTTCTGCAGCGTCTTGGCCCGGTCGTTCGCATGTAAACAAACATCGGTCGCTATGCGATTTACGCGCAGCTCCGTCACTGCGTGTGTGTCG